TCTGTAGTGTGATTTTTTGACTGACACAAGATTTAAATAGTAGGCTGTTGACTCTCTCCTGTCCTGGGATGCATGTTTGCATGTGTTAAATAAGGATGGTAACATTCAGTGAATGCCTTAGGTTTGTGCCTTTGCCTCACAGCACTTTACTTGACTGGCAAGGAAGAATTATCAAGTGAATTCTAACTTGTGCTCATTGGAATCTCTGAGTAATGTGACCTAGATATTTTTGCACCTGTCGACTTCTTGTCTTTGAGACCTGCCTTCACATTAAGCTTTAGAAAAATGTATGCTGGTGTGTAATGATCCTGTTGAGCAAAAGAAGAAGGAAGCAGTTCATAAATACTGCAATCTGAAGGGCCAAGCTGGCCTAAGAATGTTCCCCATAAAAATGCCTTTGTGTTCCTTTTAAATTATAAAGCTTTTATTAAATGTTTTGAAAGAGGAAGGGAAAGCATTGGGGTCATTTTTTACATGGTTTCTTGGAGTGTAGTGATTGAAAAATGGAAGCAGAACACGTAAGGATTTAAGAGTCTGGGCTTTAAGGATTTTAAGAGGCTGTGCTGTGGAAAGTAGAGATTGGACTCCTTGGTTCTGAGCAGCAAGGAACATGCTTCGGTGTGGCTTCTGAAGGAAACACTCCATCTATAAGGCCATTGCTTATTAAAATGGCAAATGTTCTCTCTTTTTTTTTTTTAAATCTGAGATATCCAGCAGTTAATGTTTCTCAAGCAAGTTTTCAAATGTAAATGTTTCAGGAAAGGTAAAAAATGAGAAGTGTCTAAAGTATGAGGTAAGGTATTCTTCTGTGATCCAGTTAGCATAGATTATTAGGTGAGTGTTAATGAGACCACTTAAGTGAGTGTTAATGTCATGCTGACAGCTTGTGGTTTCCAAAGGGATCTGAACATCATCCCACTTGTGTGATTCTCTCCTTTGTGCCTGTTCTCACAGCCTTGCTAACACACAGCCATTGCTAAGTCAGTTTTTCCCACTGAGCAATGAACAAAATAATTCCCTTATTTCTTTCCTGCCAATTCAGGGAGGTGACGTGATTCATCATGAGCTTACAATGAAAAAAGGAGGTGGGATAAAGTGGCAGGAAATGCAGCGTGTGACCATCTCTTTCACTGCTACTAAGCTTTTAGATTGGCTCAGTTATCTTGTGAAGCCTCATCTTTTGGATTTGGTTATGGTGGTGCTGGCTATCCTCACAAGTTATTATCTAAATTCGAAGTTACTGATCACTTGGGAAAGACTAGTGAAATAAAGTCATTGTTACAGGTTTACTGACAGTTCTTGAGCTTTCTTACTTCTTTGGTTTTCTGTGATTTTTACAGCAGTGTTTTTAGTCTCCATTTGATCATCTCCTCTTTCCATTGATGCTTCACCTTATATACTGTTCACACATTTTCTCAGTCTGTTTTGTATGCTTCAGCTTTTGTTCTCAGATCCTAAAAAGTTAATCTCCAAGATTTCTCCTGCAGTTGTGATAAGTGTTAACATGTACTAAGGTTGGTGTTACAGTTGCACTGAAATAACACTTAGCTGTTTCTGAAAGTGTCATTTCATTCCTTCACTGGCAGTGTGTTCTTACTTCTTCACTTGGCACAGCTTTGGTGTTTGTCTGATACTGTGATGAGCTGGTCTGAGGAGACAGGCAATAGAAAATCACGGTTTTAAGTTCTTCTGGCTCTGTCAACCAGCTCCCCACAGGGTAAAATGAACACCAGGCTTGACCTAAGAATAAGGAGCCATAAAGACACAGGCAAAAGTTTGTTCGCAGGACTGCTGAAAGAGTAGAAGTTGGACCATCTGTTTTAGCAGCAGTTGTTGATTAGGTAGATATAGCTGCAACATCACACCACATTGTTAAGGCAAATATATTGTTGTTTTTGCTTAAAATTGAATGCATGAGGATGATCTATCATAACTTTTCTATCCATGAGATTCTTCCACAGAAAAACTTTTCAGCCCTTTCAACTTTCTTCCTCCCTCATTAAGAGTTCTAATATACTTTCATTGGCAAGTGTTTGTATTACCAATGTTTTCATTCTCTTAATTTCCCTCAAATATTTTTACGTTAACCTTGTCACAAATGTATGATCAAATACAGCAGTACGTTAACTATTGCCTAAACATTTAAACCAGAACTGCAGTCATCACCTCTAAACAGTCTGTTATTCTTCAATAAGAGGTTGCATTTCTATTTTCTCTGCATTTTAAGTTTGCAAGGGCTGGAATTCCAGTTTTTCTCAGCATCAGTAGTTTTCTTTTCTCTGTAAAGTTAAATCGTAATTTTGCTGCCAACTTTGCCCAAGCCAAGTAGAAATATCAGACAGAGCTTCCTTTACCAAATAATTCGTTGTTCAGTTAGTAGGCATCTGGAGGACCAAGGGTGAACCTTAAGACACTGTGTTATGTCTTCATTAGTACTTATTAAGTTGTGTCTTTTTTTAAGGAAAAAAAAGCAGCTCCAGATTTAATAGCTTTTATATTTCTTAAACGTGAGAAGTTTCTGCTTAGCATTTGTCTGTTCATTTTGACATGGTTGGCAGTTTCCTCCTGCATTAATAACTAAGCAGAGCAGCTTGCGAGCTGTTACCATTAAATTACATTTATGTATTTGTGCTCTTCTGAGTAGAACGTTTTGCTTTTTAATATGCTGTTCTGTGGCACGTGTCATATGCCTTTCTATTTTATGACTGAGAAAAATGAGGCCCAGTTTATTTATCATAACATTCATGCAAACTCTTTAATACATATCTTTTTTCATTAGGATCGATTCCAGTTAAACACTGTGGCAGTTTTTCTTATCCAGCCTTTTCTGTCCATTTCTCCTTTATAGACATATTAGGTAGTTACTTAGCTTCACAATGGTTGGAAAGGTATTTATTAAAAAAAGAGTTCACCAGGAAAGTTTGAAGATGAAAATTGGAGAGGAGTGACAAGTAGGTTAAAAATACCAAGTCAGTCTTTAGTAAGGCATGTATATGTGTGTGTGTGTGTGTGTGTGTGTGTGTGTGTGTGTGTTTACACATAGAGGGGTTGTGTGTATGTGTGTGTTTTTATTTTTGTCTGCATTTATCTGAGTATCAAATATATGTCTACATATTTCTAAGTATTGTTTCATGGCTAGAAACAACTTTAAGTCAGTATAATTTGTTGTTTCCTACTGTGTCAGCATAGAAGAGAATGAGTCTGTATGTACAGAATTTGTCTTCCAAGACATGTAATGTATTTTTTTAGCAGTAGGGTACAAAAGTACCCTAGGATTATGCTCTTTAAAAAGGCTCTGTAACTGTATGTTTCTTTGTGGTGTTGTTTGCTCATGTGTTGTATGTGTGAATAAATTTAAATGAAGTGTTTATCAGAATATAAGGACCCATTCAGAAGCACAAATTTAAAGACAAGCACTGTTCAAAGGCAATGTCAATTTATTTTGGGAATACAATTGTATTGCAATGAATAAAGGTAATATCATCTATCCAGAGTGTTTAGTTCTTGGTATTCTTAGCAGTAGTCATTCAATCAAAATATTCTGAAGCCTTATCCTGAGGAAGTTCAGTAGCTTCACCTTCAATAGCCCTGTTGGAATTTGAAACAGATTTATGGCAGAAACTTGTGTTCCAAACAGCTGTCATGCAAAACCATTTAGAAAACCCCTGAAAGTCTGGTGAACTCAGAAATCCATTGCGCATGTTGTTTTGACTTTTTTTTAATTAAGATAATACATCCTTCCAGGAAAACCTCTAATGTAGGTCTTTAACATAAAGCCATAGCTAAAATAAACTGATGCACTTGGTCAGTGTGCCTTTTAAACACAGGGCTTAAGGACTTCAAATTTATAGCTCGCCTTTCCTGTGGAATTACAAATAGTTTGATATCGTACGTCAATGGAGGCATAAAAGTCACAGAAAACAAACCAGAATTTGGACAAGGATCAGAGAGTGAGAGAAAGAGTCAGAATGAGAGCATCTGTCTTATGGTCTTGGATTTGATTTAAAAAATTTAAAATTCTGTCAGTGTAATCTCTCCAAAATAAAGTTAGGCAATGCAAGTTTGTTTCCTGGCAATAGCTCTGTTTCCACTATCCAGCATATGGGACACAAAGGGTGGGTCCAGGCTGCCTGGGGAGAAGCAGAGCAAACTGTTCCCCCTGCTGCCTTCCAGGGCTGGAACATTTCCCCCATGTTGCGGATGCTCGTTTCTGATCCACCCTGACCTTTTCCTATCTCATAAACAAGTTAATCTTAGGGAAATAACTGGAAAGGCCTTGGCTTAGTAAAATCGAGATGGAGCCTATTGTGCAAAGAGTAACAGCATTCAGATTACATGTACCAAATTTTATACTATGTGTTTAAATATTATCATTTGCAAAATGGTTTATGTGAATGATTTTGCTATTTTTAATGGGTTTGTATGGCAGTGTCGACTCCAAGTGGAAAAATAGGTGGTCTGGAATGAAGAGTATCTTGAGTGAAGCAGTAAAAGGAAGTGGGAAGGTGTAGATATTTCATACTCCTTAATGGGTGGGTGATATGATAGTATACATAAGTCAGAGGTGTGATCATGACAGATATAAGTAAAACAATCTCAGAAAGTCCAATTTTGAGTAGAAGATGCACTGAAAGAAAAAAAACAACCCATCTTTTTTTTGAAAAAATCACATACTATTGAGTTGCTGATGCTCCATGTGACGGTGGAAAAATACATACATTTTGATCTGACAGCACAATTTATCACAATAATACTGGTAGTTTAACAGGAACTCACCTCAACCATGCTTTGATTTCTTGAAAAACTGTAAAGTTTCATTAAAATACTCCTTTTTTTCTTTTCTATTTTCTCTTCCTTTCTAAATAAGAACTTCTCTGCAGCTACTTTGCAAATGCCAGTTAAATCATGAGTTTTAATGTAGTATTCAGAGAGCTTTTTTTTGAATAAACAGCATTTTATTAATCGTTTTCCATTTTTTTTTCTTCTGCCTCTCATTTCAGAACGGTTTGATCACCACTGTCCCTGGGTAGGCAACTGTGTGGGGAAAAGAAACTACAGATTTTTTTATATGTTTATTTTATCTCTGTCCTTTCTGACAGTCTTTATATTTGCATTCGTTATCACCCACGTCATCCTTCGTAAGTATGCTGATGAAATCAGATTACGTATGTAGCCATTTGCTTGAGTTTTTTAAGTTAATATTTTGATCATTCAGGGTTTATTTCTTTATTATTTGTTTATTTGCCTTTTCTCTGAAGCTTCACAATCCCCAGTGAGTCCCATTCTGGTCTATAGTAGGCCCCATTCATAACAGTCATTGACTTAGCAGTAGCTTTAACTTAATACAGTGTTAATTTTTTTAATTTTTTTTTTGTCCTTTTATGGATGATTTATTGGAAAAGCATCACACATACTGTATGTCTAAGTATACAGGTAGTATCATTTACCCAAAGAACTGTTATGTGCTTTTTTAACTGTAAGCATGGGTCACTTGCCATCCAGGCAAACAGGTAAATTATAGGAAATAGGTTGGAGCTATACTTTTGGTTGTTTGCCGTTTAATTTACATTGTTCTCTACCTTATTTTTAACACACATTATTTTCATTTGCATAGACATTCTGAGAATAACCAATTCATAATGAAGTGAATCAGATAAATATTCAGGAGTTTGAAGTTGATTTTTAATTGTGTTCTGAATTGTGTTCGAGGTCAGAACTCTTTTGGGTGTTGTCTTTTTTTTTTTCCACACCCCTAACAAATTTTGCTGGCTCCTATATGATGATGATGATCTCATTTATGGTGACAGGCTATATGACTTGTCTTTAAAGATCTTTTGTATGTTGGAGTTTTTTAACTCACTATCATAGGAAACTTCGGAATGTTTTATTTTTTTCACTAATTATGTAGGATATTGCCTTGAAAAGTAGGTCTTTAACCATTTTGGAAATGTGATCTTTTTATTTCTTTGTATTCTGTATTACAACACAAACCTGGTAGAAATAATAATTTTGGTATTTAAGACATTTATAAAACTAACTTGACAATGGTAATATTAGAGAATGTTTTCCTGAAAAAAACATGTTAGATTGTGCTCTTCTAAATTGCTTACAATGTACTGGGAAAAGCTGTATTTTAAAAAGCAGAACTCGTGCTTTTATTTGTTCTTCACAAAAGAATAAGAGCACTGAGCAACTCCCTTATAGTTCAGAAATCTAGCTCATAGACTAGAACTGGTGTGCCTAATTTTGAGGGAGTCTGAATAAACAATTTGTTCTCACCAACAGTTACAGCATTTCTAATACCAGTTGTTTAAAAAGGGAAAAGTAGTTGTTGGAAAAAGAACACTTGCCATTAATACTTAAATCCTTGACATTTATCTGGGCATACACACAGATATACATATATACGCACATTTTATATACATATATACATACATACTTTTTACATTAAGAAGAAGAAAGCGTGTTTTTTTCTGCCATCTTACCTTGCTAGAGTTCAGTAATTGAAAACATTACTAGTCTGACAATGTAAAGCTACTATTGACACTAGCCTACCTTCATTTCACAAGGACTGCAGTGCTTTTCTCTTTAGTTTTCAACATATGAATTACCAATATTATGTCAATATTTCATGTACTGTATGTCAAGGAGGTTTATCTAGTGGATTTTAACCTTACAGTGTCCATTTCTAAGTATGATTTAGACGAAGAGCAGAGTAATTAATTGTGCCTCTCTGTGGTTGAGAAACACTTCAGCATTGTGTAGGTGTTGCAGATAATGTATAGTAAATGTTAAATGCTAAACTGTCTACCAGCTGCAAAATGTTCTTGCTATGGAGGTTTGTCTACCTTGGATGAGACAGGGAAAAACATCCTTAAGTTCCAAAGTTTGGTCAGTCCTCAAAGGCAATGGGAGCAGGTATGAAATGCAATTAGTTCCTCGATGTTTATTTGCTACACTGAGGCTTCAAGCCCAGCTTTCAGATTTGTCTTCTGTAATCTTGGCAGTGTCCAAAAAAGAGTTCTTTACAAATAAAGTTTTCTTATCACATTGATCGCTCCAATCTGTGCCTACCATGCTTCTAGAAGTCCTCATATCTACCTTTCTGATAGTTACCGCTCAACTATTTGTGTTCTATTTTGCAGCCCTGTAGTTGTTCAGCTGATGCTAACCATTTAGCAGGATTCTCAGTTACTTAATCTGAACCTTTGCACTTGGCACAGACTACTTTTTGTTAGTGTGTATGAAGAAAATCTCAGTTATTAGACCTGGAACTATGACCTTTCCACAGTGTTTCAAGGTCATACATGTACATTTTCGTAAGACCTGACAAAATTATTTTATTTTAATGCCCCTTGATTTGGACAGATTTTGAAATTTGTATATTTTTCTAATACATCTTGCAAGCTGGCATTTTATAATTTTTGGGAGGCCTAAGTGGTGCTATGAGATCCATCTTAACTTCTGAGGCATATGTTGGAAATTTGTTCTTGCTAGGATTAAGAGTGTGTGTACATAATATCTTTGAAGATCATAAAACTCATTTTAAATATCAAAGGTATTGTCTTGCAAGACTTTCTTCCATCTCATGAAGCTGAATGCCTTTTCAGTAGTAACAGTGTCTTTGTTCAGAGTTACTCATCTCTGTTTGAGGCATCAGTATTTCAACTGTTTGTTGCAGTGAAGAACCCTCCCCTTCTGATGTTTTGGTCGCACTGCTTAGAGGAGTGTGACCAGCAGTAGGGTGTAGAGATCACACCTACCTGCTGCCATTGCCGTTAAGGAACCTAAAAAACAGTAGAGGAGGTAGGGGAAGTTCCATTAGTCCTGTACCTTGAGAATAAGAATCAGTTATAAGAATCTGAAAAGTCTCAGAAATACAAGGTAAGTAACTTTCCTTTTGTAATGGCGAACAGTAAATTGACCAGATAGATCTAGAGAATATTTTTTTATTCTTATAAATACAAGATTCTTCTCTCCATACAAGTCTTCAGATGAATTTAGCTAAGTGGAAAATCTTTCTGCGGTAGGACTTTCAACCTGATGGATTTAAATCAGTTATGTTAGATGGTAAAATTCAAACTATGTGCCTACAGTGTGTCACATTAAGTTAGTTTCTACCGAAGATTCATTTGCTGCAACCAGGAAATTGTCAAATCACCCTTTTTGACTACTGTCTCAGGGTTATGGAACCCAAGTGGTTCTGCACTCTGCATACTTTGCATCTCTAGTTGAATAGCTCATGCTTCTCTTGACCTTTTTTCAGGTAGTAGATTGTGTTTTATTTGCCAAGAGGCAACAGTAACCTATTAGAAAAATCTTCTACGTAGGTGCATAGGGTGCATAGGAGCAGGATTATAGTCAAGAAAGCTCTGCTTCCGAAACAAAGGATGGAAAGTTGAAAAATCTGAATTTATAGGATAAATTTTCCAAGTTAAAAAGTTACTTTGAAAAATAGTATTTCAAAATAAAACAGGAGGTTATAATTTTTTGTTTCCATATTAGGTCTGAAAAGAACAAGAATAATCGGAAATCTTGTTCATGGGAAAGCATGCGTGCATCAATGTGGTATGACTGAGCAAATATCCTGCAGATGTTAAACCTTATAACTTACCCAGGTTTTTTTCAATGTTGTTGCTGCTGTGCAGCGTATTCTCCTATTCATATTAGTAAATCTATTCTATGATTATTTGATTATCTTCAAATATTAATTGTTTTAACTATATGAAAACAGCCTGTAGCCAATTTCTTACTCAGGTAATTTTGTGTTCTGTTTCTACAGGTTCTCAACAAACAGGGTTCCTCAATGCCCTGAAGGACAGTCCTGCAAGATATCCTTTCACTGAAACAAGTTGCTGATTATGTTACAAAATAACATCTGAGATGTGTGTTTGCTTTTTTTTTTTTTTTGCTATTGTTGGATATGTGCTTTGGGACTTTATCAGTTAATGACTTCATCGCTTCCTGCACAATAAGATTTCTTGCCACATGTTGGAGGTAGGAAGGAGACTATAGCCCAGAGTGGTTTTTATTCATCTTTTGCAGAGCAGTACTCTTGACAAAGATCTGTAGTTTCCATATGTGATGAAATATGCTTCATATTTTGTGGTGAATTTCATAAATATATCTTACACTATGCCCGTGCTGTGGTTTCACTTAAAATATTCAATAATTCTCCTGGTTTTACGTCCAAAAGTATCCCAAATGGCTGATTCTTTTCAGGATAGAAAAAGTAGATTTTGGAACAACTGAAACCATATGCTGTCCTCAAAGAGTTCAATTCCTGAAACTATTCTTATGTTTTTAGAGTAGTCATTTTCAAGTATTAACTTCTGTTAAGCTACAGAGCAATATGTAACTTGCGTACACAGGGACTATTATTGTTGTTCAGCCTGGAGAAAACAAGACTCTGGGGAGATCATTGTGGTCTGTCACTATATAAAGAAGTCTCATAAGAAAAACAGAAAGAGAGACTTTTTACCAGGGCCTGTAGTAACAGGGCAAGAAGCAGTCGTTTTTAACTGAAAAGAGGGTAGGTTTAGGTTGGCCAAAATGAAGACGGTTTTTACAATAAAGGTTGTAAGACACAGGAACAGGTTCCCCAGAGATGTCGTGGGTGCTCCACCCCTGGAAGTGTTCAAGGCTGGGTTGAATGGGGCTTTGAGCAACCTGGTCTAGTGGAATGTGTTCCTGCCCATGGCAGAGGGGTTGGAACTGCATGATCTTTAAGGTCCCTTCCAACCTAAGCCATTCTATGGTTCTGTTTTGTAAATGCTCCATGTACTAGTTGTCTCTTCATGAGAGCTTTCTGTATATTTTCTATTCAGTGGGAATGGAGTCAGAAAGCAGCTAACATAATGAAAAAATGGGAAACTGACGTAACTACTGGTTAATTTCTTTCTTACATTTCTGTACAGACCATAGGCTTCCTGTTCCTTATGTATATATTTTGAATGGTTTGTGTCTGAATAAACAGTTTGCACTTCTCACAAAGATACTATAAAAAGAATTCTTTCCCTTTTGTCCATTGTGCCTCACAAAGTTTGCTTTTCCACAGAAGAGTAGGAAGAGTCCTTCAGAGTTGTGCATAGAGACCTCCCTTTCCAGATAGTTTTCCCAAGTGTCAAATTCTGCAGATACAAATTTTTTTGTGTTTTTATTCATCAGGTAGAGTCAGTGAGCTGTAAACTCCCTGTTTAAACAAAGCCATTTTTCAGATTTTTTTGTACAAATAATTTTACAAATCACAAACTTTTCTAAATAGCATAACCATAGCTTCCAATTAAAATAATTACAATCAATTCTTGCAAAAGATGATTCTTTCAAACTATTTCCAAACTGAGAATAGCTTTCAGTTGTCCTTAAATCAAAATGTGATCGCTTATGCACTTAAGGATTTTTTTGTACAGGAGCAATGGGCTATTAATTCATAATTTATGTTCAGAGATGTGCTGCTTTGATGCTCAGTAGCGCATCTTCTAGAAATGCCTGATTTGATAGTGATATGTTGGACAATTTAATAGCTTGGTTACAATTAACAACAGCAAAAAATTAAATTGTCCAAATACTATTGGAAATGCTGCTTTGGAGCCAGTCAGCTCAGGCACAGAGAACATTGCTATTTCTATCTTGCTAACAACCCTGTGTGAGATACCGTATTATGACAGAAAGATAATTATGCTATAATATGCTAGTAAGCTATACTTTCTGTTGAGCATATATTGGGTTTTTGTGTTTCTCTTTAATTAATGGACTCAGGTTTAATTAATGGAGTCATGTTAATTTAACATAAACCACACCTGCTGTTCTAGAAGTCTTTTTGGATCTTGGTGTGGGGAACTGAAAACTGTCCCTTCATGTAGTGAACTGAAAGAAATTCCCTTTTTTGTCAGTAGGAATTACTGTGGGGAGGAGAAATATACTTTTCAGTACCTTTTTGAGTGTAATTGTGGTGAGGAACATCCTATAAGTGGTGTGTTCGGGTTGCAGGGAGCCCTTCTGCCTCTAAGGTTCTTATTATCTGACCAGGTGAATTTTCCTCCTGGTGTGTAGATTCTATCCAACAGTGCTTGTCTACAACCTTCTGTACTACTTCTACCCTCTCAAAGCCCAGTTTGTATTGTGCATAATATTTTGGCCTGTTTCCTTCTTTTACATGTTCTGGAACCCTCTGCCAACAGTCTACTTCCTTATCCATTCTTTCTTGTACTCCTCGCTTTAGCTGTGGCCATTTAACAGTCAGCTGAGTCAGAGTTCCTGTCCTGTGTTGGTTTGACTTCACATAGTTTGAGGAGGAGACGAGAGGGAAAAAGTAGTGAACATGCTGCTCAGGAATGAACTTTGGTCATCCTGCTGCTTTTGGAGATAATTTGCTCGAATGCAAATGTCTCTTTTCTGGCTTTAAAACCCTCTGATTGGAATAGGTTGTAGGGAAAGTTACACCAGGACTTCAGGTGTTTCCCAGTTTGTTAGGGGAGAGCAGCTCTGCAATACAAAACTCTATGCTGTTAACTAATATTAGGATTTTTCATTGCAAACACATCCATCCATGCATTTTCCAGTCTGTGTCTCTGTGTAATGGTGAGGAGCTGTCATATTTCTCTTCCATTGATACGTTCAGGATGTTTATTCTGTGTTTTAAGGCTATGTCCTTGTTCTGGAAAATTTTGACTTGACATTGTCTTGGAAAGTGACTATACTAAAGGTTGATATGCTTAATATACAGATTATTTTTATCCTCTTCCCATCATCTTGTTCCTACTGATTCATTTGATCTATATCTCTGGGAACTAAAGCTCCTTCTGCTGTTGATTTGTGTTCCCTAAAATAAAACCCGAAAACCTATTGAAGTGTTGTAGAAAATAGCGTTCTCAAAGCAGATGTATTTTGAGTTCATGGCTATTTGTGTAAATAAAACTATATATAAATAAAAAACTATAGCAGGAAGCTTTCTATAGAAAGTTCCTCTTTATGTTTGCTTATATCAAGTTTAGAAGCAACTTTATTGTCTTATTGCTGAAACAATGATTCCTTTAGAGTTAAAGGAATTATATAAACTCTAGTGTATGCAGTGTTGAGTGCTGACTGATTTTCCTAGTATATGATTCTCACTTTTAAAGCCTAGCTACTTCTTTATGGGTATAACATTTGGGTTATACAGTTTATAATGAATGAAAATACAGGTAGTTTGAAAAGTTGTAGTGATGCACACAAACGTGCACGTGCACACCTTTGCTGCTCTCTTGAGGTGAGGGTGTTCTTGCTGTACATGTACCTGTGCCGCTCCCTTTAACTCACAAGTGAGAACACCCCTAGAGCTCACATGCTTGTACCTTGAGTGCAAGTCCCTGTACATTACACCTCATACTGACAGTCTGCTGTTTGGATGCTGACTACTCGATGTTTGACAGGGATGGTGCTGTGTCTGGGCTCGACAGATTCCAGCAGATTTACCTGTGGCTATACCAAACCAAGTTTTGACTGCTGCTGTTCCCACTTCTGTGGGAACAGAAGTTCTCTTTCTGCCATTTTTTGTGATTTGCTTATAAATCAGACTGATGTCTTCATTAAAAAGTCTACTTGTAATTCCTCAACTAGTGTTTAATAGCAGCACAGTGAGCTGGGAGTTGATAGGCTTCCTCTTTAACATAAGTTTTGGGCGAATGCTGCTGAGTTTTGAATATCCAATGCCACCACACCTATTTAGACTCACAGGTTTAACAGAAGTTGCTTTCCAGGCCATTTGCCAAAGCTGGGCCACTCAGGCATCCCCAAAGTCGTAACATAGAATATATCCAGTTATTAGGGGGACTTGAAAGAGCAAGTGAACTTTATATTTTATTTGGACTAGTGCACTTCAATGCTAGTGTTAGGATGCCTATCAGCATCTTAACTTCAGTAACAGAAGAAAAACAGGAGAGTCTAGCAGTTAGAACATATGACTGAGATGCAGTTTACCCAGTTGTTGTTGCCATATGTATGAGCAGAGATCTAGAACCCTTAGTCCTGGCTGAAGACTCACACTGTGCAATAAGTATTTGAACAAACATATCCATTCAGTTTTTGGTGTTCAGCTAGCCTTGGGTTACTTCTCTTGTCTTTGATCTTCCCCTCACCCCATCAAAACCGTTATTTACTGTTACTTATCAATTTGCCTGTCTTAATAGAAGTGTGATGACTTTTACAGGATGAACATGAAAATTTGAATTTCAGCAGTTGAGTAGTTTCTAGCCTTTTTCAATTTGCAAACCCTTAAATATTTGCTGGTGTACTATTCAGTGGTCTATACAATAAAGCCTACTGGCAGTAGTCTTGCTTTTCTGAGTTTAATTTTTGCTGACCCCTTTGAAGTACCCCAGAGATCTAAAGGGACTTGTGGATTACCTGGAATTTTGTGATTTTTAACTACTTTTTATTGGATTTTTTTTCCATTTGCATATATTTCCTTGACTTTCAATTACTGTGCTGGAAGCTGTGGTGTGTTTTTTCTCAGTATGGTCCATTGTTGGCCTCTCAGGTTTTCATACATATTTGATCAGCTCCAATCAAACAACAAATGAAGATGTAAGTTCATAGTTTATTTCTACATATGTTTCTAAATAGTAGTGAGGAGGTTTTTCTCAAATCACACCTGTCTGCATCATTTTGTGAATACCTCATTAGGAAAGAAGACAGTAACATGGTTGTGCTTGATTCGAAAGATCAGATGAAATCTTTTTACCTATATTTGTTGTAGCTTGAAAATATGCTGGTTTATATACATAGTATGTCCATTATGGTTTATGCGTACAGGACCTCGATCTTGAAATAGGAAAACATAGAATAGAGGATAAAAAGAAACAAGTATATTTTATACAGTAGGGAATTAATAAATACTTTTCTGTATCTGTTTTTCATTGAGAGTTCTAAATATTATTTGACTCAAAAATTGATTACTGTGAAAATTAAAAAGTGTGTTGAATTCTCTAAACAAAAATTTCATCCTTTATTTTATTTTACCTTTGAAAATTTTTTGCCAGTCTGAGGTCTAAAACCTCTGGCAAGGAGTATATAATTAATTTGAAGGTCAACATTCTCATTTCTACAGTTTTCTATTTTGCGTGTAGGTTTCTACTGTTTTGGTGTGGAAATTATGTTTAACTGTGTGTGACGTCTTCATGTGTCCTCCCCTAACTAAAAGGAGAAACACAAAATGAATGAAAGGAGAAAATAAAATTAGCTAGGGAGCTAATGGTATAGAAAGCTTGTTGGAAATTTAGTAAGTGATCTAACAAAGGACTGCAAACTTTAAATTATTTTGCTGTAATTTTATGTTGTACCTTTTTCATAGGTATTTGGCAGATATAAACGTAGCATCTTTGAGACTGTCAAACACATGTTTTCTCATTGTTTAAGGTCACTATTAAAATAGTAAACTTTACAATCAATACCAATCAACCACAAAAAAACTTCCCAGGCAGAAGGAATCGTGCCTCAGCATCAAGTATCAGAGCAAGTAGCCTGACTTGGAAGAAAGCTACGTTGTTAGTAAGACAGATGAGATACTCTGGTATTCCTCAATTATTAGGTTTAGGCCAACATTGTGTCTCTATGTGAACTTGTTGTACTTCTGCTATCCCCACTTCCCTCAAATAGATGTCTCTTTTGGATTGTTGAAAGACAGATAGCAGTGACCTGTAACAGTGGAACACATCTGAATTTCAAGTAAACTGTTCAGTAATTTAGTTTAAAACGTACATCCCCAATTGAATACAGCAAGACATTTTACTCAGGCTCTCAAGTATCTCACAAACAGAAAAGCTAACTAGCTAAGGAAAAATATAATATTCAGTAAAAGGTAGTAATGGCTGCAGATACTTCACAATATTTTAGAGCCATTTGTGAACTGTAGGGAAGATAATATCATGTGATATGACATGTTATTTGTAAAATTAAACTTAGACCATTAGGTTTAGATGATGAAATTCTTGCTGTGAATATATTGATTCCTTGAAATTTTGGGTTGCCTAAATCTATGGAGGTAAAGCATGTGCTCACTTTTAAGATTTTAGGATCCAGCCTTGCATAACAGCTCAAAACTCTAAGACGTTTGGAAGTGTCATCATGGGTTTTCTGTGGTCTGCTTCTGCAAGTAGCATGTTGCTGCTTTGATAACCCTTAATTTGTCCCAGCCATTTTTTGTATTGTTTTACATGTGATGTATATTGTTCATATCTCTTCAGATTAAAGGATCATGGTCAAATAAAAGAGGTAAAGAAAACTATAATCCCTACAGTTATGGCAACATCTTTACCAATTGCTGTGCTGCGCTCTGTGGGCCCCTCTCTCCAAGGTAAGAGTATCAAAAGCATTGTTAACATAAATAGAGCCACCTGACTATTGATGACAGAATTATTCTTTGTGATTGCATAAGTTGACTCAATAAAACTAAAGTTTTGTATTAGTGTCCCTTAGAAGCTTTAATTAGTTTTTTCTTCAGTAGTAAAGAGATAAATTGGTAAATTGTGGTTAAAGTAAATTAGTGATCAGATGCTCTAAAATATATTTAAGATTGACATCTGAAATGAAAATAAACTTATTTGTTGTTTGAACTTTTACCACTGCAGTTAATAACTTACAGCAGTGGAAGATTGCTTGTAGTTAGCCATTGCATAAAGGATAACTTGAAATTTTATTAAACTCTTGCATATCTAACAAATGTTTCATGAGTTTAGGAGAGTTTATGAACCTTTAGTCTACAGCAGCTTGATAATTGTTCATTTTTGACCCATTTTATTTAAATGGACAGTATTTTTTTTATTTAATACTATTAACTTATATACATTAAGCTGAATTTGGTGGTCTTACACCAAAACAATTCAAAAGAAAGCACAATGGATTAAGTTTTGCTGCATACATTTTCACTTTTGAAATCCAAAATGTTTGCATGTGTAAGGTTAGAGATGTTTTTTTCAGCTTGAACAAAATGTAGGACAGAGCTGAGAGCAGAGAAATAAAACTGCCAACTGAAAAGACTTCATTCTTTTCTTATTCCAGTGCTCAGTGATTACATAGTTCACACACTACATATGCACTTTCACTGTAGAGACTAGCTGAGATCTTGTAGATTATTTTTGTGACATACTCATCAATTGATATGTTTTGCTTTGTCTGGAATTATGTAGTGATGAATCTGAACTACCAAGAAGGAGGAAAGTAAATGGCTCTATGGTCCAGTGGCCAAGGTGTTTAGTTGGAAGTGGGATTTTATGGCTTCGCTGTCAGGAATATCAGAGGTGGTTGTTCTATGAGCAGTCAAAGGTCAACAGGAGAGACTGATGTCTTTTCCTAAATTAGAGAAAACTGGGTAATGATTTCCACATACTAGGTTAACACTGGTGAGAAAGAGTAGCCCTATCTCTGCTTCCTACCTGTGTGGATGTTGCCTGAAGCCAGCCCTTTAATTTTGCCGTTTTGCTTTTCATAAAAGTATGTGACATAAAAGCTTAGTGGCACACTTCAAATTCTTTTGACTCCAAATGGAAATCTTTATTAAAACTACATCATGTTTCTCAGTATTTGAAATAGCATCTTAGGCTGATACAAGTAGCAGCACACAATTAGACTAGACTGGCATTGGCTCCTGTGTTTTAACAGAGTTTGTACATTTTTTCCTATTCCATGCAGCAACATTACTTATTTAGATGTCAAAATATATGTAGAAGTTCTTCAGGGAGATATTTTATGACCAAGGGGAAAAATTTACTGACTGTAAAATGTAAATTATATCCTTGCTTTTTTTACTTTTAATCTCATCTGTGTCTCAAGTCACTAAATATTAATTTTTCCCTTAAATTCTGGAAAAGTGGCTTACCAGTAATTACAGCTTAAAATTCAAAATGTTCAAATGCCTTTGAGAGTGCAATGCAGGGAGAGAGGATCTGTAAATAATCAAAACTTTTCTTACTTCTGTTAAAGATGGTTTCTCATTTTTAAATCTATGCTAGCAAATTCAGAATGCATTTTACATGTCCTCCACAATTACTTTCAAATCTTAATTTGATCCATAGCTGTCAGCATAGGTCTAATCAGTCTTCTGATATAATAAATCATATAACATTTTTAAGCATCTTTAATCTTTAACTAGGTTAGATTATTCCATTCTATTAATTTTTTTTTAAATCTTATGTAGATTTTTACTTATTTTTAGTAATTTCTTCACAAAGCATTTTCTTAGATGCAAATAAGCAATTTTATGAGTGCATCACTTTGGTAAGCACAGTGGAGTATTATAAGCGGTGTTAAGTAGCTGTCATGAAAAACCTGACGAGTAAGTTTTCTGTCTGAACAAAAGTTCATCTTTCTTTCTTTCTTGCTAAATTTTGTGACTAAGTGGTTTTAATTTAGATGTGAAAACTGGCAAAAAAACCAACCTTCAGAAGAGATGCTGAATCAAAGTGCCCTAGTGAGTTTTGTAATTTGTTTTCACATCTATGGTTTAAAATTCTTTGGTTTTGTGGTATCTGCTGGTAAGCTTATGAATCTACTGTCTGTGATAAAAATCCAGAAAAGTAGTAGTATGTATGACTGTGTGATAGGCAGTATCACAAGGAAGAAGTACCTTACTGATGAGTACAAATGAAGTCTTGTACTTCAGTTGAGTAAAAGAGGACATTCTTTTTATTGAGAGGAAGTAGTTATTGACCAGAAATATTTCTAATTCTTTTTCTTTATTGTGATTATTCTGTAGCTTAATTGACAGAAGAGGATTTATACAACCAGATACACCGCAATTAGCAGGACCATCAAATGGCATTACTATGTATGGGGCCACACAATCTCAGAGCAACATGGTAGGAATCATCCCATAGTGTTCATCAAGATTCCTGTGAATGTTTTCCTTCTCCACTTTCATGTGAACTAATCAAGTAATAACTAACTGGATACAGCTGACACACTGGGTGGAATGACTTGTTTATTAACAGTAAAGAAAAAAACCAAAACCCAAGGCTCTTTTTAATATATGTTTCACACAGTGTAATAGTTATGGCTCATGGATTCTAAAAAAAAAAAAAAAAAAAGGCTTTTCTACACTTGATTTATTGAATATACTGGCATTTTGACTTTTACTGTTGACACCTGCTGTGTTTTCAACTGGAATATTCAAGTATCATGGACTTGCTCTGGTTCGTCATTTTCCAGCTAATTGTTATTTTATATGGCACTTCCTTCATACTTTATTTCCTTCCTTGCTTGTACACTGCGGTTTTGCATAGACTAATGTATTTAAAAAAACAAAGATGAACAAAGAGAAGTTTCTAGGGGAGAAGTATTTTGAAGAAAGAGCAGGAGGACACTGAACTTGCAATGAACAAAAAATGGCAACTGGATTGTTACAACAAAAGCTTTTAAACACCTTTGAAACTGTGCCAATAGTTTTTACTTTGTTTTTTGCTGGTAGCATTTGCTATCATAAAGGAAGATAGGATTTCCAGTGCCAAGAAGAAGAGAATAACTGGAAAGATCTCTTTCCAAAGGCAAGCATCTTGCATATGTGCCTATTTCTGAATTGTTATCCACATATCTTCATATAATGTGGGTTCTAAGACTTTGTCCAAGAAGTCATGAGTTATGGACACCCTCCCTCTGCCAAAAAAGAGGAAGCCACAAGGCCTTCTGACATAATTCAGCCTTTCTTTTGAACAAAAGAAGAAAAGACACTCTCTTCTCAGACAGATTAGTTTTTGTGTCACTGATAAACTCGTGTAAAAATTTTGGTTTAGTTCCTAAGCTGGTTTTACGTATTATTTTGAAGATTAAATAGATTTGTTAGTCTCCTTAATAAGAAAATTTATTAGAGGCACAGTGTTAAGTCTGAATCTTCTGTGAGGTGCAGTTGAGCAGAACAAGGTAATGCTCCATGCAGATTATCAAAATAATATAACTCTGAAGAGAGAAAAGGGTGTTTAAAAAAAAAAAAAAGAGAAAGCAAACCTTAGAAATGGGCTGAGGTCTTTCAGGGATTACCCAAACTTTCTGACTCTGTCAAGGCTTCTTATTTGTGAGGATTGTAAACCCACAGTATGTCCCTGGCATTAAATTACCTTATCATTATAAGGATTATACTTGCATTATAAGAAGACACTATCATTATTCCTAGATATTAATGAGAAAACCTTGTGCTAGTTTGATAGAAAATTGACTAAGTTTGTCTCTAGGAATGGAGAAATCTGTTATGGTATTACTTTAAGTCAAACAGGTAGCTGTTATGATTTTTAAGTGTAATACCGGTAATTATGCAAATTCTTTGAGGACTTGAACTTCTTATGTCCTAGAACACCATACCACATGAGCTGGGAAAGGCTTAGGTTCTTTAACAGTTATCAAAATCACTAGGAAATGTCCAGATTTCATTCCTGAAAATGAATCTCTTAGAAAAAGCTTGAAAAATGTAATATGTCAAGTTTGATTTGGAGGAATATCTTTTATGACTGTAATGCTATTTTTCTCATTATACCTCGTCTGTATCCAAGACCAGTTGGTTTCTAGTGGCCTCTGGCTACAAGGATTAAAATTTCTTCAGTTTTGTTGCAAACTGTTAAAGACATGCTTAGTTTACCAGTCTCTCTAACACTGTTTTCTCTTTCCTATTGAAGGGGATGTGTCTGGTACTGCCGCTTGTATTGTTACAATTTTAGATAAGGACAGACAAAGTAAAATTCCTTGACTCGAAAGGGCATGTGTAGATCATAGTCTTAGACCATAAATACTTTTTAAATCGCAGAGGTTTAGCCATTTATACATCTTCAGAGATATTTACGCTATTTTAGCAAGCTTAATGCTTCTGCATACAAGAAATAATTTACTAGAAATCTGAAGTGTGTTTCAGTACACCTTTATGGTGTGTCTCCAGTTTTATTCCAGAATGCATTGCATCTTCTTATCTCAACATTGAATCCTAATGTCTAGATGTTATGCTGCTTAATCCACATAGCATGCTAAAATGTCTATCCTGCCCACTGATATTAAATAAAGATTTTAATGAGCATATTCTCTCACAATTGTCTTCTCTTTTTCCTTCCCTCTTTCATTTCCTTCTCTTCCCTCAAATCTTTTATTCAGTGACTTGTGTCTTTCTAAATAGAATTATTGTACCTCACCCCACTAGCCTCTTATCCCTCTTTAAATCTCTCTGGGTTGCTTAGTCTTATATTCTCTTTTCATGTATTTTAATGAATCTTTTAGCATAGCATCATTTTTGCATTTAAGCTCAACGTAAATATCAGGTTAAGTGTAAAGTTGCCAGACGCTTGTTTTCAGTGCAATGTATTATCTCTTATTCAGTATACCATTTGGGGGGCACTATTTTTGTATTTAACAGCTTTTGTGGTAATTTTGCCTCTGAGACTTTGAATATTTCATATAGGATCTACTCTACTCATGATAGTGACCCAGTTTGTCACAATCTCAAAAAGTCAGGATTATTGCTATAATCAGTGCTTGATAAACCCATACTGTGATTTTATTTTTTTATAGATCTTTATAGAAGAGATTTTTCTCATGTTCTGTCCTTAGTATCTCCCTTATTTTACTAAAAGCTGAAGTTGTATTTACTTTTATGAAGACTGGATTATATATATATACATATATATATATAATATATATATATATACATATATATATATAATATATATATATATACATATATATATATATATAATATATATATATATAGATATATATATATATATATATACACAATTATTATTTTGCCAGTATGTTCCAAGTGTTTTTAATTTCTTTTCCAATATAATTTGAAATTAGTCTGGTAAATTGATTAGCCAGCTTCTTAATATCCTTATCCACATGACAAGCATGGTCACTTGAAGCTCATAATCCATACATCTAGTTATTTCCAAAGTATTTCCCTATTGCATTTTAGTGCTGATTATTTTTGCAACCTTGTCATTAGTTGGATTGCCCAAGTATATCTCTTATCCCTAAGAAATTCTTTTTTTGTGTGAAGCACAGCATCTCATCCATTATGAAATAAGAATTTTCTCTGTAATTTATTCTTTGTCTTTCATTTTGAAGTTTATTTTGTGTTCTGAAAAAAGTTCTAATTTCACCATAAACCCACCAGCTACCATTACTTAGGTCTGCACTGTTGTAGTACTTAGCTTTCCCTTAAAAGCCTGAGCTGATCCTTGGGGTTTGATACAGGGTATTTTATTCTTTAGTATTTCATTGAGAGGAAACACAGACTATCTCACTCCCTGCATTTTTTTTTTTTGTGAGGAATTAGTTTGGTTTATATTTACTATGATGTCTCTAGGAGTTCTCTAATGCCTTACAAACTGATAGACTTCGCTGCTATCTGACTTCGTGTCAGGACAGGTTTATTTCCTTGTTTTTAAGAAATTCGCTTGTACTCCTGCATTCCTAGGCATCTCTTCTTCAGTGCTTAGGTAGTTCCTTGTGTGCCAAATTCCCTTATTTCTAGTGCTCTGTTTCCTTTCTTGGATGCAAATTCTTTAGAGTGTTTTCTTACTTATATGCACCACTAAAAATCGTAGGAGCCATAGTGCATGTGCAACATTCGTTACCAGTGAGATGTGCAGGAAAGTCCTCTCCCAGGTGTTCACATAAGTATTTCTATTACTCATCTGGAAACAGATCCAGCTGCGACAGGCAACAGTAACTCTGGCAGTCCTGGTGTACTTTTTCCTTTGATTTTCATATTTTCATTGTTAGCAGTAAGTATTTCTATTATGACAGTAATAGGATCGGCAAGGACAGGAATCCCATTTTGCTGGGAGTGTTTCCTTGTATATTTACCGGTGTCCTTCCCAAATGCCTGAAACAGAAGTCAACATCACTACAGTCAAGGTTTTTCATTAAAGCATTTTACTTCACGGTTAAAATGGGTTAAGGGCACATGCAAGTAAATCAACTTCAGCATTTTGCCTTGGGTTGGAATATGTTTTAGGAGCAATTCTTTTGATAGTGCATGTTCACTGCAATTTAATTCATATCCTGGAGCAGTGACAGAGCACATGAACTAGATTTATTTTACCTCATCATAGATCTGCTCCTTGTGCACTGTAGTACTTGACAGTGGAGCCATTCACTTGGTGTGATTTGTGGCTCAGTTCTTGCACAGTATCCACAGTACATTGATTTTGATTGTGAAATCCTGCACCTGTTGGGAACAGTTATACAGCTCCATCCCTCCACTTTTTACCTATCTACTATATCCACCTAGTATGATATTTCAGCATCCTTTCTGTTACTTCATAGCACTGTCAGCCTCCTCTGAACTTCTTGTTGTTTGTACTTTATTCAGAGATGCTGAGATAATTCAACCTTCTTTTCTCCATCTTCTGAGAATTGTAACAATTCTTGAATGTTACTAGTGTTTAGAAAATTTTTAACAAAGTTTATTTAAAATTTAAACTAAATGATCTCTGATTATTTAGAAATAAACACATTTAGAAATGTAAAAAATCTATTGCCATGTACAACAACTATGTTACCAAGTATTTTCTGTGTAGCTTAGAAAAAAACAGATTTTCTTCAGAAAAAAAATTTGTTTCCTTAGTTGTTTGTATTTATTATTTGTGAAATAAACACAGAATTCTAGGTTTTGTCTAATTTGCTTTAATTTATGCCTTTTTATGTGAAAATAAATATAGAGATGGCTAAAAATTTCTATGCATGCATGTAGTTGAACTTCTGTACTGGTAGAACTTATTGGACTTATCTTACCTTCAGAATCTGCTGTTCCTCTTGAAACAGTGGAAAATAAAGCCGGGTCTGAAGTAAGTAGGTACTGGTGGAATAGTTTTGACAGACTTTTAGTTATTTAGATTTCAGTTCTTGAGTTTCTTTTTGTTGTAGTCATAGGCTTTTTTATTTCATTTGAAATCCTGGTGTTGAATAATTCATGTGATTAGTAGCAGTTAAGGCTTCTGGCCCTAAATTTCATTCAGTCAAGAGTGAAATATGGAATCGAGGAAAACCTACCATGCCAGCCCTATAAACAAATCTGATTTCCTTGTTTAGGTTTGTGTTGGCTGTTTAAACTCAAGAATAGTCTTGCCTGTATATTGTGTGTTTTTATCAGATTTTTTTTGAGGGCTTCATTGAGCACATATACTTTTTCTAGTTTAAACGCTACCCTAGTTCTCTTTCGAAAGTTGTTTACAGCCTGTATTTTCCCAAAGATTTCATGCTGCTCACCATTAAACAAAAAAAGAAAAGGAAAACCTGAAATGTATCTAAATGAAAAGAGAGGCTTTAGGGAAATGACAAGTACATGAAAAATGAAGAAGAAAAATACAACACCTGAAGAAGTTTATAACACTACTTAATGGAGCTTTATGAGGCTACTTTTTCTTTTCCAGTATTGATTCAATTGAAATGCAGTAGAGTTCTGTAAGAAAAATAATTCAGACTATACAATGAATTCAAGTAAATTACCTTCAACTAATTTAAAAGGGTGTACTTGTATTACTTGTATTGCCTGGAACACATTAATGATTGCCTTTTGAAGATCAGAGCTGAAAGTTCACTAAAGCAATGTCAGTTGCTAATGTTATTTGTTTTCAGTGTACCCCAGTGGTTATAGGCATTCCTTTGTTATTTAACTTGCGTTTTGGCTGCTGCTTTTCAGAGAAGATAGATTTTGTTGGTCTTTTTGAAGTTTGAAAACTCAGTTAGCATATTTTTGAGGTCTGCACAGTAAGGTTAGTTGAAGGGGCTATAGTTTAATTGAAGTAAGTGGGTGTGAATAACAGAATATTGATCAAGAATGAGTTATTCACACTGAATTACTAATTGAAAACATGACTTTAAAAGATGCTGACAGTTTTTTTCTTAGTAACTTAAGCAAGGTTTCAGCTTTAAGCCTGTGAGTAATCCCCCTGAAATTATAGGGGACCACTTCAGTTGTTTGGCTGGGGCTGTTCATCATTTTGTGGGGGGGAAATTGCTTACAATTTATATGAACTCAATTCATGTAATAGGAAGTCTTTCTGAAAGCAGAAGTGTTAGAAATATGTAATTGAGTAAGGATTGGACTTCTGCCTATCAAAAAATAGTTGCTCTGGAAGTCCTAAACTACTTAGTCATCTTTTAAATACTACCTATCTACTATGACAAGTACTCTGCCTGCACACTTTCTGAGTGTAACGTGTGCATCCATCATTAAGCTATTCAGTGGTGAAACTGGAGAACCTGAAAATACCAAAGGAACCATTCTTGGTTGTGGTTTTCATTATACAGTAAAGGAAACAAAAGTCTTTCCTTAAGTTTCCTTAGGGTGTATCACAGTGGCCTATTAAACTCAAAGGGGCATTTTAGGGAATTGCTATGATGTTACTAGCAAATATTGGAAAAGATGATGGATTTGTAACACCTAGTGATTTGATATAGATCAAAGAACTTAGTCATAAAGCAGAACATACTGCTTTAACAGAATTCTTGAAATAGCAAGAGTGAATAGGCATGTCTTACCTCTGGATGTATCTTTTATTTTGCTTGCTTGCTTCCAAATGTTCTTCATTGCATTGGATTTATAGTTGTATTCATTGATTGTAGTGTTTTTCTTACACAGCAGAACAGTACTATGGCAAATGAATCTAACAAGATTTTGAAAATCTGCAGATGTTATAACTGATCTGGCTAGGAATTAAATATATTGTTTTCCTTGGAAGCTCTCAAAAATCATGCCAATTTGTGTTAAAGAAAATTTGGCAGTAGGTGTACTACCCACTTAGCTAGCTGGACATTATTGAGTCACCTACCTGTCTTGTCATCTCAAGGAATAAGTGATAATTTTGTATAAACAGGAATAGGTGTAGAGCCAAAAGCATTTCTCGTAATAGTCACTTCAGCCTAACTGAATTTATATTATGCTGAATTTTGCTTGGTTTTGAGACAGTACTTACCAGAAAAGGTTTTGTTTTATACATTGATTGTTCACATTGTCAAGATTAGTCAAGAAACTGCCTAAAAAATCATTCAGGTTGATCTCAAATTGATACGTCTGCAGTGCTGCCTGATTTCCACACATCCACTAGAATACAGAGTATAGTGTAGTATATTCTGTAGAATGTATATATCATGTATTAAAAAATAATGTAAGAAAAAATTTTTACTCATAAGGGCTGTATTGCCAACTGTATTTTTATAAAAATCACCTGCGTCAGAGGAATTCTTGTTCTGGAAACCTTCTGTAGTAGCTTAATTCCTGCATGTGAAGACCAGTTAAAAGAAGACAATTGCCTAGTGTTTTTGAACTTAAAGATGTTTAGATCTATTTTAAAGACTACCGAAGCCCTTAAGTGAACACTGTAAATGTTTTTCATAATTTACTTTGATAATAATTCAAAGCATTGGCCTTTCTTTTTTTCTCTGGGCAGCATGCAATGGGATTTTTGGGTGGCTAACTGTGGAATGATACTAATGGCTTTCTTTTTTTTCTCTTCACATCCCATTCTTTTCCATACCTTTTTGTCCATATTCTCCTTTTTTTTTTCTCTCTTTTGTTTGCGTTGTATGATTTTGACACCCTTTCCATTCTACAGTGTGACCAAGATCAGTGCATTCAGAGCACCAAATTCGTTTTGCAGGCTGCTGCCACCCCTCTACTACAGAGTGAGCCAAGCATAACTAGTGAAGAGCTACCTTTACCAGGAAAGACTTCTATCAGTGGGCCTTGTGCAGCTCTAACTCTAGGGCAACCGACACCACCATCTTCTATGCCAAATCTCACATCAGATTCAGGTTTGACAGACATCATACCATTAAAAGAGGAACACGAAGGTCATCAATTTCTCACTCCTGAAGAAGCTCCATCACCTCCTGGGATGCTGCCAAGTGGAAGTCCTATCACACATAGCCATACAATGCACGTCCTGAGTCTAGCCAGCCAGGATTCATTGCATGAAGACTCAGTACGTGGTCTCGTGAAGCTTAGCTCAGTTTGAACAGCTTTTTTGAACATCGCACCATTTCCTGGTGTCTATACAACTCTCTAATTAACAGGAATGACACTTCAGTACCGCTGTAAGACTTCATAACATACCTATAATGGAAACTATATCGCATAGTGGAGTCTACTAAAAAAACAAGTTATTTTTCAATGGAGCTATGGCATTTTTTTGAACAGATTGCTAATGGTTGTGCTTTGATGGTGACTGCATTTTATTTTTAAATAAAACCAGAAGAGGTCAATAATCTTGTTTCCTGAAGCTTTGGTACCCCAAGTTGGAAGTCTGCCTGTAACAAACACCATGTACAGTACAAAAGAGAGAGATTATTGGATGTAAGTGTCATGCTCTGTGTTCTATGCTCTTGTAATACACACTTGTTAAGGCTTACCACACCTGTGGCCAGAATGATCTGCACTTACATGTTATGCTACCAATATTTGAGAATAGAAAATTACCATTCCATTTGTTAATACAAAAAAAAAGACTGCAGATGTGGATTTGCATGCCACGCTACAGTATGTGTTACAGTGGTGTTGGTATTAAGAGAAAGTGCTGCTTTTTTATTTGTGACTTTCAAAGTGCTGTTTCATTTAAAGACAGTACAATAAACAAATTAATGGACTATATTTTTTCAATTTATTAAATTTTATTTTAAATTAATCAGTGGTGCCTAGAAGGTGACGAATTACTGATTTGATCATGTTGCATATCATTTAACCTTCTGTTAAGTGTTTAGAGTGAGGTATTGTGTTGTGCCATACCACAAAATTCTTCCACTCCCTAATGTGATACAGTTACCTGTGGACCTCCAATAAAATTACATCCTCTATTTCGTGGACATGTGTACAGTTATCCTTACACAGTTTTGGTGGGGAAAGAGGGGGAAATTGTGACTGGGTAACACAGTTTGTAAAGATTTGACTGGAATATATGTACATAATGAAACTAGTGCTATGGAGGAATAGTTGGTTGTGATTAGGGTGGCTTCACCATTTTTTATGGCTTTGTTTGAGATGTGTATTTGCTCCCATAAGAGGTCCTTACTTGGAAACAGTAGAATTACCTTCTGCTTGCACTGTAATTTTATGTTCCTTATCATAGGGCTAAAGGGTGAGGGACTTAAAATTGAAGACAGAGAGCTTAGTGAAGTAATCTTAAATGATTAACATAGTCATTAGCTGTCCTCAGCCATCATCCTTCATTTGTATTTGTCCTTTGATATTTTAAATGGAAATCTTGATTTCATAGAATTCTTCTGTCCTTTTTCTTTGTTTAAGTAAAGCACAACTAAGAGGTTAAAGAGATTTTTATAAGTATTTTTCATGACAGCTGAAGAGAACCTTAGTTAAGCAGAGAAACTGTAATAGCTTTAATACTGTATTTACCTGCTTTTCAGATTGTGGAACCTGGATTCTTCTTTTTTAAGGACAGTCTAAGTACAGAATACGCTTTATCTGATGCTTCTATTACATGAAAGCCATAGTTAAGAAAAGTACCACCAGTTAAGGAATGTAACAGTTCTGTATTGTTGACTGTGGCCATTCAGCAACACTAAGTTAAAATCTTTTTTCTTTTTTACTTTCATTGTTGAAATTGAGAACAATCAGCCTGCAGAAAATCAGTTACCCGTGCTATTGAAGGTTCAGACGATACTGACAAATCCCCTACTCCTCTAAGATTTCGTAAGCAATCTGTTTCTATAATTGATGATGCTAGCTTTGACCTAATTCAGTGTGTAGAATATAGCAATGGTTTCTGTCTGTAAGTGCCATAATGGGTCTAACAAAGAACCTCTAGCAGTCAAACCTGTCCCAGTCATTTGAGCCACCAAAGAAGCTCTAGCAGACAAGTCTGTCCCAGATACTGTAACTACCCTCCCAGCATTTTGCAGAAGCTGAGACAGTCTCAAATTCTTTCCACCAGCCAAACTGTGGTGACTGACATGTCCCAGTTGGCTGATCTCCCAGTAAGCCACAAGTATCAGCACTTACTTCTGTATCTGCTCTTGAAGAAGAGTCAGTGATACTGATGATCTTGATTTCATCTTTCTCTAATACGGCTTCACATGTATGAAGCTGTGAACATCTGCATTAAAACAGGTAATGGATTGAGGGCTGGAGATACTGGTCTCATAGACCTGGGTAAAGAATCCCAGCTTTTGAGGTTGTAGACCAGTATTTGATGAATAATTATCTCATAATTATTCTGTGTCCGTGGGTAGTTAACTGTGGGTGCATTATTCACTACAGAGAAGGGCAAGTCAAATATTTTTAATGTGGTATCAAAACTTTCCAGTTGTACAAGTAATGATGAGGATGACTATTTTAAGGAAATTGTTCTTTTTAAGTCTCCCTGAAATAGACGGGGGATTTTATGTTTCCAAGAATACCAGCTTCGTGACAACATTTATATGTCATTGCCACTAGGGAGTAGTGCAGAAGGCTCTGTGCACAATAAAATTTGTGTCAGTTTTAACATGAAAGGGAAGGGAGTGGGACAGGATTAGAGTCTGTATGCTGTTTGCCACGTGCTCATGCTTTCTGCTATCATTTTCTGAACTTTGTTTTGTTTATAAGTGAGGTGTAAGAATTACCAAACAAATTGGAAACAGATGCCTTAGTTTAAACATGTGCTAGTTACATACTTGTTCAGGTGACTTTCTTTTAGTTTTTAAGATAATGGTCTTATTTTCTAAACATGCTGCCTATGTTTCTAAGTTTGGTGTTTGAAAAGGCATTTAATACCTTGAATTCGTTTATATATCGCCCTTATTTTAGGTCTCTTTTTCCTCCCCATCTGTCTGTTATAAATGGTGACATCTCTAACCTTCCTGACACGCCTGCCTTGCGAGGACATCTGCTGGAAGGTTTCGGAACTAAGTACTAACCCAGGCGGAGTGGTAGTTGCAGTCTTTGATTGACAGCAGGCAGTGATTTATCAGCAGGTTGATCAAAGCGGTGCCTCTGACAGGGGTTTTAGTCCCTTCCCCTCACCTCCATCACATCTGTCTTCAGTCGTGAGCACTCCCTTCGTCGGAATTTGTGTATACATCTGGAATGAGTCAGCGAAGTAACTATTCATCACCTTCTCTACAGATTTGATTACTGATATTTTACTTTGAACTATGATTACAGAGCATGCACACTAAGGATCCAAAATTATAATCCTAGTTAATACTGCACAGGGGGTTTTCTATGGTTTTTTTTTTCTTTGATAATTAGTATATTGTTATTAAAATTAAATGTTTGATTTATAAATATAAATTCAAAGTTGATATTTTCAGAAAAGTAAATATTTTTTTCTTAAAAACCTAAAATCTTTGAATGTGTAAAACTAGCTAGTTTATCTGATTTAAAATATTTATTGTGCTTTAGTTTTTTTAAATCATATTTTTCCCTTCTAGTTGTCTATATAATATTCTTTGTGGAATGAAATACAGTGCTTCATAAAATGTTTTTAAAGGCTCTTTATTCTTGTGATTTCTCAAAGACACTTCTGCCTGGAAAGGGAGTTTTAAGTTACTATCAGTTAAACAGTAATGTAATAAAAGTCCAAGTATTACTGTATTTCTGTATTATAGTACATCCTTTGGCAACTTTTCATCTGTTCCTGTTAACTGATGATACAGGTAGATGTATTTCTGCATTAAGTGGTTAGTGCATTCATTAAAAATAATCTTACAGATGGAAGATTAGCTGTTTTGCAGTTGATCCTAGTAAGTGCTCGTAGAGGAAACCCAAAGACCTATGGTTTAGCAGCATGTCTTACAAGGGTGACAACCAACTTGTAATAATGCAGATTTTTATTTTTTTAAGTCTATAACGGTAAGTATAATAGTTCACAGTAAGTAAATGGTTGCCTGATGTTCAAAATACTAAACAAAGGAGCTTCACTGCAGAACCTATAAAACTGAGCTTCTATTCATTTCTTAGTTCCAAAATTCAATACATCTTGAAGAACAACTCAGCAATGTTACAGAGGGATCTAATCCTTACATTAGTCATTTTCTGGTTTAAATTATTTGTGGGAACTGTCATCACATATCTGTTGATCTCTTTTTTTTTTTTTTCCCCTTCACCTCCTTATCAGCAGTGGTACTCTGAAGCTGAACATGGTGTGTTTGCTTGTGGGCCATTTTGATCTTTGTTTTAAAAGCCAGTTGCTGCCTGAATGCTTTTGTTTTAAGGGCTGACATAAAACGAGGTACTACAGTTCAACACTTTCAAATACTCTTAGGCCCAAAATATGAATTAAATGTGTTGCAGACAGTTGCATATCAGTTTAGTTCACTTAAACTAGAACTGGCGTAGTTTTCAGGATTCATCTGGATCAGGGCTTCCTGCTTTTGTTTACCTGCCTGCAAAGATGTTGCAATTTGACATCTGTCTGAGTGCACTGCCAAGATTCCCAAAAGAGTCATTAAATTAAGTGAGATATTTAAACCTGTGGATATCTAGATTAATTATGAATTGTTGCAGCAATTCAGTTCCATCACCAGTAGGCAACTGTCTGTTAACATTCAACTATAGAATTTGAAAGTTCACCACAAACAAGGCAAGTTGGGGAGGAGAACAACTTTTGGATGTTCTGAAGAGATTAAAAAGGAGTTTATTTCTAAGGTGTGTCAGAGAGGACAAGAATAAGAAGATGAAAAGGAAAAGACTGAGTGAAAATGGAACAGAGAAGATTAGCAGGTGACATGGAGGAAAAGAGGAATTACCTGTAAGCTGTGGAGGGAGAGGGAGGGGGTATAAACAAAAAAACTTCTGTGAGTAGTGTGCAAGTAGGAATTAAGACTACGGGCTAGATAAACTTTGTGGTTTGCAAACCAAAAATCTATCCCACAGAGATATATTTACTTTTATATATCCTTAAGTCAGTTCCAGTAGCAAAAAAACATTAGTGACAGAGTTACTTTAATGTATTTTATGCTCCTCCCAACTTTAGCTACATTGCCACTTCTGAAAACTTGGAAAAACAAAACTAAATTTAATCCAACTATAATTTAAATCTTGTCAAACCCAAAGCTGATAACAGCTACTGGGACTTACTGTATGTATTTAGGTATAGTTATAGAAAGGGCAGGAAGGGACCACCTTTAAACAACTTGGCTGAATATGATCTGTGATGCGAGAAGAACTCTTAGAACCTTTCTTCAGCTCCTCTTGAAAGCACCATATACAGCTGAGAAAAGAATGTGAGTTTAGCAGGCTTGAAAGTGTCTCACTTTGATGTTGCACTCTATAGTCTGTTCATGGCAAATTGCAGGGATCTGACTATGCTGGGCACTCTCACCTGGGAGGTGGAAGATGAGCTGGACTATTTGGTTGTTGCACTTGTTAGGGAATGAACTTCTAATAAGGGTGGGAAGTTCAACCAGAAGATGGTGGTACTCTAGTTAAAGCAGTGTTCGTGCGAAGGCAATGGGTGAGTGATTCCTGTCACATTTGCTAAGCATGAAGGTTTTGGTAGCAAAAGTGCTTAAGTCCTGTGACCTGATTCCTGAGTCTTCTACATTGTCAGGAGAGAGAGTGTTAGTACACAGTGGGTTCACACAGCAAAGTTCATTTATTAAAAAAAAATAGCTACTTAAAGGTGAAAATATTAATCTAATTCAGCATATGTATTTATAGTTATTGCATGTTGTGCTGGTTTTGGCTGGGATAGAATTCATTTTCTTCATAGTAGCTAATATGGGCCTATGTTTGGGATTTTGCTGGAAAGAGTTAATAATTCAGGGATGTCATGGTTTCACCCCAACCAACAACTAAGCAACACACAGCTGCTCGCACACCCTTCTCCAGGGGGATGGGGAAGAGAATAAGAAGAGTGAAGTGAGAAAATTGATGGGTTGAGATAAAGACAGCTTAATAGGGAAAGTAAAAACTGCACACACAAGCAAGGTGAAACAAGAATTCATTCACCATTTCCCATAGGCAGGCAGGCGTTCAGCCATCTCAGGAGAGCAGGGCTCCATCACACATAATGGTGACATGGAAAGACAAACATCATCACTATGAACATTTCACTCTTCCTTCTTCATCCCCCAGCTTTGTATGCTGAGGACGATGCCATATGGTCTAGGACATCCCTTTGGTCTTTAGGGATCAGCTGTCCTCCCAACTTCATGTACACCCACAGCCTGCTCCCTGGTGGAGTGATGTGACAGGCTCAAAAGGCCTTGACACTGTGTAAGCACTGCTCAGCAATAACATCACTGTAGTATCAGTACTGTTTCCAGCACAATTCTGAAACATAGGATCATACCAGCTACTATGAAGAAAATTAACTTTATCCCAGTCAAAGCCAGCACAACATGGTTTTGCAGGTGAGCCACAACTATGTTGCAATAAACAGAAAATTGGTTATAGGATTTCTAATTCGTCTGCCCTGCTACCTGCCTTGTGGTAGTGGAGCAGTTGGTTGTGGTTATTGGCTGAAATAGGAAGGACACAGCTAGCCAAACTTTCTTTTTTTAGTGAAGTGTTAAGTTTCTTTCTATGTAGGTCACAGAAAATTAAAAGCATGCTCTGTAGTGCTGACCAGTTAATTTTCTAGCAGGCAGAAGATACCTAATATTTTTTTGTACTTTCTAAATTGAAAGGAAAAACAAAGTTCAAAAAAGTTTCCACAGGTTCTGAAGACTTCAATCGAAAAACCTTTTGGAACACAAATGGTGTTTCATTTTTAAATAAATAGTACCTTTATGTATTTAGTATTTAATTCATTACCTATATGAAATTGAAATATTGAGATACTAAAAAAATCATCTCAAAAAATCTCAAAAAATCATCAGGCATTGAAACGGCCTACCCAGAGAGGTGGTGGATTCACCATCCCTGGAGGTTTTTAAAAAGACATTGGACATGGCCCTTAGTGCCATGATATAGTAATTGGAGTTGGATCAGGGGTTGGACTTGATGATCTTGGAGGTCTTTTCCAACCCAACCTATTCTATGATTCTATGAAAGTTCTACTGTTTTCATATTCACAGTGTCTGTCATAGAACCATAGAATAGTTTGGAAGGGATATTAAAGATGATCTAGTTTCAGCCCCACCTGCCACAGGCAGGTGCACACTATCTCTTATTATAGTTACATTTGAAGAAGAAAACAAATGCTTTATGCAATAATTACATGAGTAGCAACAGTTTCTAATATTTTTCTGTTACTCTTGAATATTTTTTCTCTCTCATATCAGAGATTTAAAATTCTCTTTCATCTCTAAATCAGTGTTCTCTAACGCATTGTACCTGATCTTTTTTAATTAGTTAATAAATTTCTGATAGGATAAGTCAAGACTATTAAAAACAGCTCACACATATCAGGAGAAAACCCCAAAATACTATTTTTTGTTAATTTGATCACAAGACTTCACAATTGTAATAGTATAACTGCAGTTGATATGAGATGACTTGCTCAAGATTCCAGATTCTGATATCAAAGAGGCAGAGAAAATTCCTATCTTCCATTTTAGAGTGTCTTTTCCCTTTCATCCTCCTGTTTCCCCACTAAATCAGAAAATCCTGGGACAAAGAAACTTTGGATCGTCCCATCTGTCAGACAGATGTGTCTGACTCGGCCTTTACCCTCTTAGTCACAACCCCCCTCTCTGTGCCTACCCAGCACCCTGGTGCACAGCTTCCCTTACTGCTGTGGCTCCTGAGAAACCCTCAGTCTGCAACAAAACCAGCCGGGCTTTCTCTGCTCCTTCATGTGGGGATGCTCTTGAAACCACTCCTGTCATTGAGGTTTTCTGGGAGGCACACAGGAACAGGAGTTGTTTCTCAGTTGTTTGTTTTCATGAAAAGCAAAAGTTCCCTGTATTTCCAAGATACCTACCCTTGTAGGGAGACAGAGACACACATATACATGGCCGTATAATTGCATAGGAAACCAGACTAAAAAAAAACTACAAATTTGGATTGACAGGCTAAAATATGTTGTGAGAAAGGAATATATGGGTGAGGAGAAAGCAAAAAGACTTATATCCAGAACTTTCTGACTAAATGCTTGGGACTGAATTTCTTTTGGCCTTTGTTTCTGTATGTATTCACATTAGTATTTCAATGCACTTTTGAAGTTTGTTTTCTTGTTACCTCTGCTTAGCACTTCAGCTATAATGACAATAGCATCCTACAGAATTTTACTAACACGTATGTCAAGGATGATTAAGGAGCACAGCACTGATTAGAATACATACCTAAAAAGTCTTAAAGAGATGCATTTCTTCCACCGACAGTAAGGAAAGAACAGATTACATTGGAGAAAACAGAAACGTAGAGTAGTGTGTTGGATTTTATATAGTCTCACTTGAGCAGCATCACATTCACACAAACTGATACTTGTCTGTGGTCACACTAGTGTTAGTGGGAAAGCAATGTAAGTATAAAGAGGTAGCTTTAAAGTCTTTAATTTAGTGTCTTTCCACTGGGATTCACAGCAATGAACTGTT